TTAGGCAGGGGGACTGAACTGCTATTGGGCTTCATCCTTATGGGATTTTGACCAAAGCTTGTCACAGACATCACATTAGGACACCAGGGAACTAGTTTAACTTGTTGAAATAGGGTATAATATGACTCCTTTAATGTTAAACACGGAAGGAAAAAAACTACTTGATAAAAGAAGAAAAGTTTGCCAGGAGAACAACCCACACAGATGGGATTTGAACCAGGGACCTTTTTGCTGTACAGAAACCCTCTTCAACATTGTGGTCCAGCGACTACAAAGTAGCTCCGTCATACGTATTGTTCTTTGGCTGGAATTAGATTGGCTGAGTTTGATGCTCAGGAAGATTAACTCATTGACTGCCAAATACGTCTATAGACGTCTTTTATGTTTTTCAACGAGAGTGGCTGGGAGACGATCTGCTAAAGCTTGTCCGTAAATATCGGCTTCTAGACAGAGTATGTAGTAACAAATTGACCCTCTAGGTGGCAGTGTCACTTTTGATGGGAGATGAGCATAGACTGTAGGCAAATAAGAAAAAGCTAACGGTTCGCTATGACAGAACATGTCGCCGGTGAGACGCAAGTCCAGGAAGAACGGAATAAGGTAGAAACAAAAAAATTTTCCTGATGAAAGAAGAGAGTCTACTCTTTCTTTTGGTGTGTTCGGTGTTTACATAGTCATAGCACAAACTATTCTGTGGCTCTTGAAAAATCAGTCAAAATGCTAAAAAAACTCAGTATGGGACTCTCTGTTCTGAAAATGGCTGGCAGTCAATGAGTTAATCACATGCTGATTTCCGGAGGCAGGGTTTGACTTCTTGCAAACAAGATGCCTGAGCAGCAGGAAGCCTGAGGAGATATCGGGAGTGGCTGTGTCCAGATGGTGGGGTGGGGCTGCTGTGGGAATTGGGGTGACCGTGACCCCCATCGCTCTCTTCCTATGCCATAAAATCCCTTACAGATTGAACACTGGCAGCAAAATTTAAGGCCAATCGTCAACTTTTCCGATTAATCCTGCAATGCCAAATGTATCATATCTGATACATACGGTTTCTGAAATGTTTTGTGTCTTACACCTTTTGCATAATTTAATGGTAAAAACTTTTCTCAAAATCCTATTGTACAAAATCAGATACACCTGATAACAGGGGGCAGAAGATTACACTAAAAATAATCTTGACTTATCGCATAATGTAAAATTAGTAATATTAAAAATTTATTTCTGTTTTTTCTTTTTACATATTTTATTAAAAGGCCAAATAAAGACTTCAAACCAAAAAAAAAGTAATTTTCTATTTTTTTTTTATTCTTGGATCAGGCTTTAAAGGGTTAAACGTCTAAATTCAAATGGGTTTACCTTGATCAGCAGCCGGATGGTTCCTGAGGCCTTTTGGGAAATGTAATACCAGAAGGACAGCTTGCAGATGGCACTTGACTCTCTCCAAACAGAGCTCCAAATGTGAGCCTTGTCCCCTTTCAGTCCCACCGGCGTCGCTTCCAAATAGAGAAAGTGTCCTGAAGGCACAGCGGAAAGGTGAAAGGATGAAGAATGATGGTTTCAACAAGCACTGACATTTCTTGCAGCAAGGTGTCGGGGTCAGAGGTCACAAAGCTATTTCAGACCCATTTTTTATTGTGTCTGCGCCTTCAGACACAGAGGAGAACTCAATGTTAAAGTTAAGTCAACATTTATGTGAAGGAAGAAAGTCTGAGAGCTTGTTTTAAGCATCCAGGTTTGCTTCTGACTCTTTAACAGCTCTATCCGATTGTTGTTGAGCAATAAACTAAGAACAATCTAATGTTCCTGTTTTTAACCCTGTAATGCCAAATGTATCATATTTGATGCATACGGTTTCTGAAATGTTTTGCGTCTGACACCTTTTGCGTAATTTAATGGTAAAAACTTTGCTCAAAATCCTGTTGTACACAATCAGATACACCTGATAACAGGGGGCAGAAGACTACACAAAAAATAATCTTGACTTATCGCATAATGATAAATTATTAATATTAAAAATGTATTTCTGTTTATTCTTTTTACATATTTTGTTAAAAGGCCAGTAAAGACTTCAAACCAAAGAAAAGTAATTTTCTGTTTTGTTTTATTCTTGGATCAGGCTTTAAAGGGTTAATACTTTGCATTGCAACAGCTCAACTGGCTCAATAAAGGGCAAGTTATATTGGAGAGTTGTCTCAGCCAATTTGATTTTTTTAAATTGATTTCAGTAAAGAAATAGCGTAAAACTAAGACATGGTCTATCAGGTCAAAGCTCTAATTACTTTTCATCCTATTCTGAGATACAAAACACGACCCTCTTTTCCACAGTTGGACGAATTTCCTGAATTTTGAGTAGAAAATGCAGCAGAAACGTCGTAATGAGACGTGTTCACACATCGAAACCGAGACTGAACTCTTTGGGGTTACCTTCAAACTCTCTTTCAAAAAGGTGTTTGCAAGAACATTTGCATTTGTGTTTATTTATTCATGCGCGCAGCTCCAAACCATGCGCCTGGCTTAATGGAATTTCGGCTCCGCATCAATCACCTGAAATCTTTGCTGCTGTACATTCGAACACTATAAAAGAGCCCATTGATTTAGCCTGTGCCATGAATTAAACATTATGAAGAGCTACTACCGAAATTTGGCTCCAAATTGTGACAAACCTTTATTCCATTTGTGAAAATCACCCTAGAATGGAGCTCAGCTTGGAAACTATGCATTCAGAGTTCAAAGATTTAAGAAACTAAATGATTTCCAATGTTTATGTTATGTTTGTGAATTTAATAGACAGAAAATATATACATGTGTATGTCGCACACTATAAAAGAGCCCATTGATTTTGCCTGTGCCATGAATTAAACATTATGAAGAGCTACTACTGAAATTTGGCTCCAAATTGTGACAAACCTTTATTCCATTTGTGGAAATGAGCCTAGAATGGAGATCTGCTTGGAAACTATGCACTCAGAGTTCAATCGATTTAAGAATTGAAAGGATTTCTATTGTTTATGTTATGTTCGTGAATTTTACATACTCTTTTTTCCAAAGCAGAAATATATACATGTGTATCTCGCTGTCTGGGATTTGAACTCATCACCACATGACAGGTTTGGATACTGACCACTATACTAATCAAGTATAAGCAGAAAGAAGAGCAA